TTTTTTTACCAGTCTCTGTCATTTTTATGCAATTTAGACTGAATGTCCTCTTTTCTTTCATTTTGCAAAATGATTTCTATCAAACACAACTACTGTTTTGTTGTCCTAAATCCTGTCTGGGTTTGTTTTGGCCTTAAACTCACCACTCAAAACCCTTTTTTTTTTGTTTTTTTACTGTAGTAAGATCTTTCTGCTTAAGATATTCATTCGAATTACCACTGTTTTTTCCCCTGCAATGACACAGGGAAGAAAATCAGTTTTTTATAAATTAGAAAGGAGGCTGAGACAAAAGACAATTGAGGTGAGAAAACTATTTAGGTAAAGAGAGTCAGTTACGTCTTCTCTTTCTCTACCCGTTTCATTCAACCACTGAAGGAGAAGAGAAATAGAGTCACTCCCAGTCTGAATACCCATTGGCCTGCAGGAGTTTGGGGAGATTTTAACATCTGAAGAGGGAGAGAGAGAGAGCAAAAGTCACTGGTCATGCAGTGATCTCTGTATTACTAGCTCTGACCTGTCAACAGGTGGCAGAGGGAGAAGTCTGGTGACTGAAATCCAGACTTTCAGAAAAAAAGGACACCAACCCAAAAAATTCAAGGAGGGAAACAAAGAAAAAACTTCAAGGGTAAGATACATTCATTTAAAATTTATAAAGCATTTGCTTCTCATAAATGCAGACGTTCAGACTAATTTTAATTAGAATAAAATATAGAACTTTGTAAAGAAGCATTTGAAAGGCCTGCAGTAATTTTTTAAATATTTTTGAAAGTTTTTTATATTTTTTATGCAAATCTTATTTATTCTTAATAACTGCCTCACTTTTTTCATTTAGTACATTTCTTTAGCAAAAACTATATTTATCTTTACAGCAGTTATCCCTGTTTATCTCATTTAGTGCACATTGTAGTGTCATCTAAAGTTTAGATTTCAAGTTTCCAAGACTAATGCTGTATTTGACATTGAATTTGAATGGCAGCACTGTTAAAAAATACTGGGATTCCTGATAAATAATGATTTTCTATATAAAATATATGAGAACTGATAGTATTATTAATAACGAAAAAAACTAATAGAATATTTGTGTTACTTGAGATTAGTTACATTTTCATTTAAAAAGACAGGCCTTTTTGATGATTTGTTCAAAATTTATAACTCTACAGACAGCATTACATCAAAATGATTATTTTTCCATTGCATCCTGTGATCACAGTAAAAGCTTGAGGAAACTGTGATTCACGGCTTCTTTATWTCACTTAGCTCTGTTGTGTTGAAGATGATTCCAAAATATTTTGTCAACATATCTACCAGAACCTTTTTTTTTCACCATAATACCTTAATATTTACTATAACTTTGGGACAATGAATATTCTCACAGGGCTGTTGATCCAGTAGATTTACGATTTATTGCTACTGTACTGGCTCAGGGAATACACAGAAGCCCTCACAAAATGAGCAACAGATGTGGACCCTCAGCTGTGCAAAATGATAGAGAAGAGGAGGAGAGAAAGTGAGGACACAGTGAAGGACAACTTTGAGTAGGTTTCTCAGAAAAGAAATCCAGAGGACATAACTGCTTTCAGGGAAACATCAAAACTCAATTTATGAAGTGGCTTTACTATCACTTAGTAAAAGTAACATAGCCCCACATGAAAACCACTGAAAACCCAATGCCCATGTTGCTTCATTTTTATTTTTTCATATGAAAGCACCGCTGAAGGAAAAAGAGCCTCAAAAGTTTCAGATGAAGGTCTGACTCGAGGTCTTCCTGTGAGGTGGCAGGAGGCAGCTATACAAATTCTTTGTTTATTCACATAGTCTCATTGAGAAAAAAGTTTCAATGGAGTCCTGGCCATGCAGGAAAACAAATAACTAGAAAATCTGCAATCAAAGCATCAACAAAGTCAAACACAATTGTTCTTTGAAGCTGTCTCAGCTCTCAAGGAGATTTTCAAAAGTACACGTTTCCCAAACTGGATACTTTTGTCCAGACAGAGTTTTGATAATTGCGGTTATTCCTTTGAGAAATTTACWATTTTTTTCCTGAAAGATATAAAGGATAAGTTGCTGGGAAAGAAACTCTTCTGCACAACTTATCACGTACATGTTGTCAAACATTTGTAGACCTATTGACATGACAGTGCTCTGAGATACAGATGTTATTCCCAAAATTAACTTTTTATCTACTTCTTTTAGACATTTTAGATTTTTCTGGAGATGAACTACGTGCTGATGTGAACCATTCTGTGTTCCTTTGGGGTTATAAAAGTTTTAKACTCCAAAGACAATCTCAAAATATTCAGTTGTCAGTCCAGTATGGTGCGTTCAACAAACCCTGGTAGTTTTTAACAAAAAAAAAAATGTCTGAAAGCTTTCTGAACTTACTTGGGCCATGGCAAATGATGAGCTGCTGCAACTCACTTTATAATGTTTAGATCACAGACAAATGTCTTGATATATTTTTCTATGTTCAATTTGTATAATTTAGAAATTATTATTCACCTATGTGGGTAAGCAACCTGGAAAAAGAAGAAGAAGAAGAAGAAGAAGAAAAGATACAAACCATGTATTAAATTTTACACCAAAAAAAAAAAAAAAAAAAAAAACCACAATTGTACTTCTCTGAGCAAATAAAATCAATTCAACATGTTTTTCTGATAGGTATATTAGTTTTGTATTGCCTAATAAATTTTTACTCACTTTTTTGAGGTTTCCAGAAATCTTCTTTGGGCCATGTCGCAGGTGATGATTACTTCTTTATTTAAGCCTTGAAATGCAAAACTCTAATGTTTCATGTCATAAAGTTTACGGACTTTTGTACAYCATTGTATACATTTTAGCTATATTTCAATCATTCATTTGCACATTATTCATTGCTTATCTGTCAACATACTGTATGCCTTCATTTCTCAAGCCACTCAACATTAATCTTGCAGACCAAACTTTTACCATTTAAACATCCTTCAGTTCAGTCAATCTGATTTAAGTACTCTAAATCGCTCAGTGCTCTCAGTTTCCTCTCTTCTAAACATCTAAATTTTCCCACAGCAGGACATTCTCAGTCAGTAGCARCCCTTCAGTGGAAAGTCAAAGTGTTATATCCTTCAAGAAAAACAAAAAAGAAGGTGTCTGAAAACAAATACAATCTTGCCAGGAGGTTTTAAGTTGAATCTCTTTGTGTACCAGAGCTTAGTGCCATGACTAYAACATCCTGTCTGTAACGTGGCTCACACAGTCAGGCAGATTTAAACAGAATCATTCCATCATTCATCCAAATACTGCTCACTTCATTTATCTTACTTTTCAGTTTATTATCCTTTACCCTTTTTCTTGCTCCTTCATTATTTCTTCTCCTAATTTGTCATGAAATGATCTCTGAGGTATATTCTTCAATTTTTTTTGCCAAAGTTGAAGAACCAGCATATGAAATAGTTTCGACCACCCTCAAAGCTAGAATAAATCCTTTGCCATATGTTATAGTTTGGATTGTGTGCACAGCTACCAGCCTCTGACCTCAAGTCTTTGACCAGCAGCACCTAAATAAACAGTGAAAGTGACGCAAAAAAAGGTCAAGAGTCTTTGGATTAGACTGTGTGCAAATGGCACATCAATTAATTTAATTACACATCAAGCGTCCCCCGCAAAAATGCAGCATTTCACACATAGCGCCACTTGATTTCAATCAAATCATCTGAATTCATTCCTTCACATTTACTTTGCTGAAAACCAGTTGAACCTGGCTGCGGAAAAAGTATCTGATAATATATTCTGAATTTCTTTGGAACCCTGCTGTAAATGTGACCAGAATCACAATGATGGGCAAATGACTGGTAGGATTCAGGTCTACTTGTTGATATTTTAACAATCTGGCCAACAATATGTCTAAATTGATTCATGAAATTGTTTGGGATCTTTTTTTTTATTTCTCTCTCTGCACATTTATTTTATTTATTTTTTTTTTACTTTTCCAGATGGTTTTTGCATTTGATGGTCAACGAGCCTTTTCTTTTTAAAGTAGGGTTTGTGGAAGATAAAACTCACCTGGAGAGTAAAAGCACAGCATGCGTAACTGGTGGCAGCCTGTCCGACTGCACTTTTGTTTATGATTTGAGTACAGAGCCTTGTAAAATCCATTATAAAGGGTTTTAAATTAAAATAGCACAAATGGTTGTAGACCCTCCCCTTTAAACTAACACCATGTTTGACGTTTTACTTTACCTGCATTTTTTACAGAGTAATCTTCTATTCTTCTTTATTAACTACAGGATATTTCATAAAGTGTTAATGCTTTTTGGAATGCTTACCTTAATGTTGTGTCTTTCCATGAACTCCACAAGTTCAATTTTTTATATTTCCCCACCACTTTTAATAATTTTTTACCAGAATGTTAAAATTAAACCAGAGCCCCTCAAATCCTCCGAAGGTTTAAAAAAAGGCACCCTTTTTCTAAAGCGTGTAATTTGGTTTCTCAGGGAAGCCACTACAAGGTTTTAAGTTAACATTACATCACTTTCATCAGACACAATGACATCATCTCTGCAGGCAAGTTTCTGCTCTTTCTGCAGCTGTGAAACGCCTGAGCGAGCACAACTCACAGCTAAGAGCCAAAGGATCTCCGGCAAAGCGATGACGGATCACTTTTTGCCGCTGTTTAATGTGGAATAGGAGCAATAACACACAAACACGCACACACTTTGGCAGTGACATAATGGTTCGAATTTCCTGAGATTGAATATAATTCTGAAACTGCTGCACAGTATTTCTGCTCTGAGAATTCAGAAGTAACTCTCTGTGAACCCAGAGACTCAGATACAGTTCAGTGCAACAAACAGCTACAGTTTCAGTGGTTTGATCCACATTCTGTAGTTTATGCCAAAGATATACTCTATACAAAATCTATACTCTATAGAAGCAAATGGAATATTATATATGTGGTCAATGAAGTTAATATACCATTACAGTCGGCAGTTACGTAGGTGATCATGTACCCTTTGTAATTAGTTTCTTCAGACTGAGTTGAAATGGCAGGGTTAAACAGAAGGTCCCTTAAACTAATAACTATTTTAGTGCTGCTCTTTATTCATTTAAAGTGTATGTACTGTATTCTTACAGACAGACTGAATCTGTTAATGTTAGTTTACACATGTATGAGTTTCTGTGGCCACTGTGGGATGAACAAAGACCCAGGTGACTGTGAGGTTTCAGTCAGGACACCCAGCCGGTTCGGATGTTTTCAGTCAACCCATTCTCACTCCCAAGTCGTCACATAATGACACTTTTCCAATGGTCMCTCTGCATCCGGTTTTGACGYGTCGGGTACCCCCCTCGCGTCAGTTATTGACGAGATGKGGTGGAATTCRTTGTCAGAATTTCAGAAAGTGTAGAAAATGCACAAATCTAACCGTCCCAAAGCCTAAAGTTACCTTTATTCACTCTAGACATCCTGTCCCTGACCCTAGTRYCTAAAATTAACCATGARCCCTGATCCSTAATATTATCCAATGAACCCAAGTCAAAGRCCCCTATATTTTGAGTCCCAACGYATCAAACCTGGATGCCGAGGGAATCTGGAAATGCCTGGTGCATCAAAAACTGAATCGACGGGTGTACCCGACGCGTCAAAATAAGACGCAGAGGGAACCTTGGAAAAGTGTCACTATGTGACGAGTCAGGAGTAACAATGTGTTATATCAGTCCAAATAAATGGACGTCATTAGCAGTTATCAGTCCCATAGAATGGCTTCAGACTGTCCCAACAGTGCCCCCTAGAGGGTTACCAGTGCCATATACAGTACATTGGAATGAAACTATCTACTACCGCCGGAGTCCAGTCTACTTTTTTGCAGCCCATGTCATTTTCTCTAAAATTAACCTTAGTGGCTTTGTGCCTCATGTTAACCAGATTGCATAAAAAACTTTGTGGTTTTATGCCTCTTATTAACCAGATTGCATTAAAAAAAACTTGGGGGCTTTATGCCTGAAACCATTCTATGGGACTGATAACAGCTAATAACGTCCATTTCATGGATGATAACATCCGGTCAGGATAAGTCCAGGAAACAGGCATGTTCAGTGGATCCAAAATACAATAATCTTTATTAAAAAAAACTTTGACGAGTCAGCAATAACTCACTTGGAGAAAAACAAGAAGAGCTGGGAGACAACCACACAATGAACTGACAAACACTGAGGACACAAAACTGAATACAAAGACAAACTAATGAGGGGTAAATAAAAAAAACAACACCTGTAGACATGTGAGAAACGGGAGTGAGGGCAGATAAACAGGACAAAACGGAAAAACACAGGGATTCACACAGAAAATGCCTAACAGAAAATATACAGAAAGACACAGATATGACAGTGACAAACACACTTTCAACAAGGAAGTGAGCCAAAAGGTCAAAATCCTCCATATTTGTTCCTGAACTGATGCAATGAAGTTTCACATGTTTGAATACCAAAGGACATTTTGACACAAAAATACCATTACTGGTCATTTAAATGGTTTCATGCAACAATTGATATTATTAAAACAAATAAGCTCACAAAAAAGTCCACCATTATTTATTAACAATATGTTTTTTAAATAGTTAACCAGTTGTTTCTATGGTTTCACATGAAATTCAAATTCAGAATACCATTAAAAAAAGAAAATAAAAACTTAGTTTTAGTGTGTGGCATGTATCTAAAACCTGCATTTTGCACTGGTTTAACCATCAAAAGTTCATGTCCTGTGTGAACTTGATGTCTTCTACACACAAATGAAGACTTTTAAAAAAAAACTGTTATTTCTTTATTTTTCATGAGACAATAACAATCTAAAGCAATACAGATAATTAACCTTATAACACAAGGAAAAGAAAAAAAAAAGCTCACAGAGCTCAAATAAAGCCTCTCTTTGTGTGAGGCCAAACCATAAAAACAAATTATGCATAAAATCATAAAAAAGCTATCAACATTACAATAAGCAATTAGAATAAACTTAGAAGAAGTCATAACAGTTATAAAAAGCAGTCAAAAACTCTTTCAAGACTTGTTTTTTTACAATGTTTTGATGACTTACCAAGTGTTTGCTTTTACATTGATTTGCAGCAATGACCACCCAGCAGTTGTGGATGGTCCTGTTCCTACTGACCCTGCTCTGCACTGTGTCACACTGTGTAAGCTCCAAGGACAACCAGCCAGAGCCTTCAAACCCACAGCAGGAGCTCACCTTCAGCCACGTCTACAAGATTGATGTCCCAGGAAGCTCCAGTTGCACCCTAGAACAGCTGCCRAGCCAGGATGAGACAGGTCATTCACACAAGACATAAATCAAAAATAAAGAGAGTCAGCTGAAAACAATCAAGGATGAATTCAGGAGTTATTCAATATGAATATGTGTTTACAGTAAATACAGTATTTCAGGTAACAGGACAGAGTACTTCAACAGTGTTTTTACTTTGGGATMAGATRATCAGAACTTATATTTTATGACTTYATGAAAGTGAATTTGTCACATTTTTGTAGGTCTTCATAAAGATACGATTATAAATGGAGAAAAYGGCATTACCTTCAAACACAATATCAGGCTGCAGACACCCAAGTGTGATTGTGAGGAGTCGGAAAGCTTCAAGAATCTTTTGTACAGAGTCAATGGATTGGAGGAAGAGGTCAACTATCTAAAGACCCAGTGCACACAGGGATGCTGCGGAAGAGGTGGTGCAGTAGGTAAGCTCTAACAAGTAGTAAAGCTGCTAAAGGATGGAATCAGCTTTTTCACAAGAGGGAGAAGAAACTGAAAGCTGGGTTTTCAGGAGAGAAGAAAAAATAACGCAAACTCTAAACAGAACCAATCAATAAGGAACTGAGCTAAAAAAACGTTTACAAATTGCTGCAAACTAATTCTTTTTAATCCTGTTTTTCTAAAGGTGTAGACACAAGCTGCAGCGGTCACGGTATTTACCAGCACGACACATGYAGCTGCCTCTGTAACCTGGGATGGGAAGGCCCAGATTGCTCTGTGTCCTCCTGTCCTGATGAGTGCAACGACAACGGTCGGTGTGTGGATGGGAAATGTGTGTGCTATCAGGGCTACACAGGAGAGGACTGCAGCCAGCTGACGTGCCCCGACAACTGCAAYGATAAGGGACAGTGTGTGGAAGGAAAATGCGTGTGCTTCCCACACTTTACTGGTGAAACCTGCAACACCCYGAAGTGTCACAATGACTGCGCCGACAATGGGCAGTGTGTGAACGGACAATGCATCTGTGATGAGGGATTTCATGGGGAAGACTGCTCATCAGGTAAGCCAATCAAATCCTAAATACAAATGTTTTGTATTATTTATGGTTGTTTGAACTTACTTTTAAATGTAACAACATATTATTTGTGCAGTTTTAATCTAAATAAAATGGTTCCATTTAGAAACTCACTTTTAACCTTGTTATAAAAAATGTCCACAGGGCATTTTTCTGTGTTAATAGTTACATCACAAGCATAAAAAAACTTTCAGCACCACAGCACAGATTTAATGAGCTTGTATCTAGATTTACATGGTTTCATACACAGAAGACAGCACATTAGCAACAAAACATGTTGGTTTTAAAATGCCAGTTTGAAAGATCAAAAATGAATAAAAATGCAGGCAGTATTAGTGGTCAGGCTGTGRAATGGCAGGCAGGCAGATAAGAAGCTATTGTACAGGCAATCTCCCTGAGGCAGAGGAAACAGAGGATGAAAGAAAAACAAGAATAGAACTTGTTGCTAGACTGAAGTTTGAGGGYAAGCCAAGTGTTGCCCAACTGGGAAAACAACATCCTGGTGATGAGTTCAAAGGAGCCTAGTGGAGATATAATGTGTGATATAAAAAAATGATGAGAASCAGTTGTGTCAGGTAATGCCACATCCATCTATACATTCTGAAAGAGACAGTGGACAACTTGCACAGGGAGGAAAGAAAAGGGAGGGATAAATGAAATCAAAGCCTTCCAGCCTGTTGCGATCAGAGAGAGGCTGCAGGACCTTTGGTTATAGCATCTGATAAGGCAGGCTAAGAAAACAAAGCCTCGTATTAAACAGAAAAAATGCATCTTACTCCCTCCTGTTTGTTGCAAAATGCAGACGTATAATTACTTCAAGATTCTATAAATAAACCACCAAAAGTACCTTCATCCGAGCATGCATTAAAGAAGAATCAATACATGTTAAATGGGTTTGGAGCAGCTCTCCATGGGCATGTCTCTACCGGCATCAGACACAGAACAGGCAGTTACTAATAACATGAAAATAKAGGTTTGTGACCTGCTCAATGCTGCCTCATAGACTTGAACCAAAAGACAGGATTGGTCTGGAAGATTGATACGACAACAAGTTTTTAATGTATCTTGGTGTTAAGCCATACACAGATTTTCATACTAGCAGAAGTATTTTAAAGTCTATTCTCTGTTATACAGGGAGTCAATGTAAGGACTTCATTATCAGGGTACTGTGAATTCATTTAAACCGAAACCCTCAGACTTTTGGACCACTCTCATAAAAAAAAGAAAAAAATAGAAAAAAAAAGCAAAGTTCTCAAAAGCGGACTTAACGTTCTCACCCACATAGCATTCACTCAAATTTTATTGAAATGAAGAGAAGGGGGTTATAATTACAATTGCTTTGAGTAGCCCTCTCTTTTGTAATAATTATATTTTAAAAAAATGATTTGTCATACTAAATTAAAATTCACAATTATAATATAAATAAAGTCTTTATAACATTCTTCAGACAATCTATTTTTGTCTCCACTTGTTTTATTGTGTTCAAGTTCATCTATGACCTGTTTGTTAAGGCATTTCTTAATAAAGAATATGTGAGCGAGACATTCCATTTACAATCAAAAATAATTGTTTTTCWATACTCAAGTTCATATACTACTGTGAATAGTCTGTTGCTTGAGTTGAAGTGATGTGATTGACRAATTTGAAAATACAGTTAAATGTTCATTGTTGTTCTAAATCAGGGGTGGTTAKCTTGAGGGCCACTATCCTGCATGTTTTAACTGGTTTCCTGGTTCAACACACCTCATCCCATGACTGATCTACCTTAAATTCTGCAGATGGCTGTTAATCACATTCATGAAAATCAGATGTGCTGACCAAAGAAATGAATAAAACGTGCAGGGTAGTCACACTTTAAGATCAAAAATGGACTTTCCATGTGTTGGAAAAAAAAAAAGGTAAAACCTGTTGGAGTGATACGAGTTAACAATGCGATACAGCAATGCGATCTCATAGCAACATGCATTAATATTATTTCACCACTTCAGGCACACTTTGCAAATGACTCATAAGCACTTAACCTTACCGATTGTGCAATTACATAGCCCCTCTGCAATTCTTTTTTATTTACATCCACATACAAGTGGAAGAAAATACAAGCAAAAAAAATGCAAGGAGATCATGTCATGTCGTAAAACTGTGTGACAAATGCATCACTTCATCACACCAGTTTGCAGAAACACATATATTTACAAGAAGTGGTGTGTAAGGATGAGAAGAAATGCAAAATCCATAAGTTGCTACTGTACTGGGCATCATCTTTGTATTCAAATATTGTAACTTTGATGATTTCTTTCATCAAGTATTTAATACTTCAGTTTATGCAAATAACATTTTGAAGGGCCAATAATCTGAATTAATGTTTTAAAGGCTATTTGAGTAAAATAAATCAAGATTTCTCACTTTCAACAATGAATCTTTTCAAATGAAAGACAGATTAGTTATGTACTTTCAACCAAAAACTGCACAATCTCAAATTAGTTCAGGTGAATACCAACAGTCTATTAGAGCTCCGTTAAGAATATCTCAGTCAAAAAGCAATTATTTTCTTCTAAGTAATTATTTTCTTCTAAAATGAACAACTGCTTATTTTTAATCTATGGCTTGTTTCAAATTACAGCTTTTTCTGATTAATCTAAAAAAAACATGGTTGTGATCAATGTGACCATTTTAGTTGATTTTGTGGATTTCAAAACATCTCCAGAGTGTTTTTAGATTAATCAGCTGAAAGGGCCTTTTCAGTGGGCTGACCCATGACCACAGCAGTTTTGACAGCTTGATGACTAATAACATCAGGTCAAATAATACCTCAGGAATATAACAACAGCTGTCAGTCTTTTGGACCTCCAGCTTGATTTTCACCCTGGGGGAAAATTGTTACCTTTCTTGCTAAATACTCCGCTCACCCAGCCACTCAGACAGAACTGCCTCAGGTGCAGATTACAAAATTGCATTCTGAAACAATCTAAGGCCAGGAAAGCAAAGACATGAGCAGTGGCAGCCAAGCATGGACAGTGGATTCTAGCTGCAAGAATTAGTTCCACACAAATACAAACGTTTCAGCATAAATCAGGGGCATAAAATTAGTTTGTTTTTGTTTTTTGGGGCCATAAAGCAATTTTGGTATATCTTCTTGCACAACAAATTTACAATATTTCATTTCATAATCAGCTCTTTCTCATACAATAAGTGAATAAAGTAAGGTAAAAAATAAATAAAATAAAGTGCTCAAAGCAACTCCTGTGCTTCTGATTCTGAGCCATAGTTTTAGAAACCTGAAGGTGATAAATAGTTCAGACTTCACAGTAACAGCTCAGGTGTGTTGAACCTTGGCTTTTTTCATGCTGTTTTGCTCCATGGTTTTCAGAGAATAGCTACAGACAAATCTGCAGTTTCATGTGTAGGTGCTATTGAACCAAATCCAATATTAATAGTAGCACCATGTCAAAGTGAAAGCTGGAATGGAAAAGGAAAGTGGGAGGTAAGAAAAAAAGTATGCTGTGTTGTTTTAAGGTGTTGGCAGTAATAGTAGTAACAGCGCTAAAACAGTTGAGATATTGTTTGTTTTTTGAAGCTACATTACACTTCAACATATGTATGATGGATATCTCCACTTAGTGATGATAGGAGTTTGGCTTTTGAATCACAAAGTCAGGCCTATCCTGTGTGGAGAAGTGTCAAATGCTTTATCGTATAAAAATAATTTATTAACGTAGAAATCAGTTGTCTCTTTACAATGCAAACTTTGTTTTAGCTTCAAAACAGCCCACGTTTCCAGCCTTAACATGTGAATTTATTCCTTCCAACTACTTTGACATATCTTATTGCACCAGGTTTCAAGAAATTCCTGCTTTAAAGGAGGGATATTGTGTATAATGTCATTCCTTCATCAAAAACATATCCAGAGTGTTGCTTTGACTCATTCATGTGTTTGATAAGTCCTTGGATCTCCTTTAGTAGCCACGTGGAGCTGCCCATACAATTGCTGGTACAAAACTCCACCTACAGTATTTACACAAAGCTCCTCCCTGGAGCTCAGTCTGCACCCAAACTCCTGCCCCATAGAGCACCTTTCCTCTGATGCATTGTTGTATAAATGTGCTGAAGTGGGAGTGTCTGAAATGGTGGGAGGTTCTTAAAGAGGCAGAGGCCAATTTCAAGGCACTTAGATATATATTTTTGATATATAATAAAAACTGAAGGTAATAAGTTACTTTGTTGTACCTAGAAAGTACCAGTTGTACCATGGTAAAAAAAAAAAAAAAAACGACAAAACATCAAGCTCTTCTGGTTACCCAAAATTTCCTTTGATATGTGTGTCTCTTTATAACATATTTTAGTTTATAAAATTTACAGCTGAATAGAATTTATTTTTATTAATCATACTCACAAAGAATATTTCTTGGTTGTAGGTATGCTCACTCTTGCACAGTGTGTCTGTTCTTCAACTACAGAGTGTGCATTATTTCTTACCAACTTCTTGTCCTCTCTTCCATCATCTCCACAGAAATGCAATGACCTCATGCCGTAGGACCAGAAACAAAATAAAACAATGTTTCTTTTCTGTTTGTATAAACTCCAGCTTTCGAAATAATGGATTAATATAGTCTAGTTCAAGGGTATATCTTTCACTGTTGTTGCAAAGCAATTAGATTTTCAGGACTTTTATAGAAATGTATTATGTGCTATTAAGACTGACCACAAGAAAAAGACAACAGCAACAAATAAACCTTATTACACTCTGTTACAGCCAGTATTTTACAAAGGCGCACATTTCTCTGTTGCTCTCTCAGTCACTGGACCTCAAGGTCTGCAGCTGGTCCAAAAGACTGACAGCTCTCTCCTGGTTGAGTGGGAGTCTGCTCGTGGGGCTGAGTATTATGTATTGACATATCATCCTAAATATGACGAGGGTGCCATGCAGCAGGTATGTTTATCTACTCATGRTCCTACAGAACACATTGAGTAGAACCTTATTCTTCTGCCACAAATTTAAAGTCTTTCAATTCACTGTAGGTTCAGGTTCCAAACACAGAGGAGTCCTACTTCATCACTGATCTGACTCCAGGGGTCACTTACATTGTCCAAGTCTATGCCGTCATCAAGAAGATCAGAAGTGAAGCAAATGTGATTGAAGTAACCACAGGTGAGCACCGACGGCACTATAAACATTATGAACTCGTAATTATATGCTGCCTGGCCAACAAAAAGGAGGCCGCTCCTCGTAAAATTTTGTTGGATCGCTTTAAATTTAATTACAGAGTGTTTTGGGCATGACAAAGTTTGAAAGTTTCAATTTACTTTTGTTTTTATTTTATTTTATGTGAAGCGCTTTGTGATTTTATATCTAAGAAAGGTGCTATATAAATAAACTTTACTTACTTACTTTACTTACTTCAAAAAACTTTTCAAAGTAACATAATTTACTATTTTCCAAAGTTGCTATATTCTTCTCAAGGTATTTAAAGGTAGAAATTTTAAGATTAAAGAAAAAAGTGGTGATTTCTGAAAGTGGGATGATCCAGTTTTAGGTATGATTGAAAAACTCTTTATCACCGACCATCGAAGGACAAAGGCAACCGCATTGGAGTAACCACAATTCAAGATGGAGTGCAACCTTCACAGAGATAGGAGTGACTAATTAAGTCAGCTTTGCATCACTTTAGCTAAAATCTGAGGGGCTAGAAGCTAAATTTCATTCCAAACACAAACTCTGAGCACTGACAAACCTACAAGATCTGACAATACAAGTGTTCAATATTTGATTTGAAAGGTGGTGGGTGATATGCATTTAATTTTGCTTTTCAATTTATTCAGCTTAACTTGCTGCGCTAAAAAGCAATGATTAAATAGGCAAAGTGTTTCATTACAGGCTCTGCTTTGTCAGGCAATAAATAATATGGTAATCTCGAGGAAATGACTGCGGGGATGTRTTTACTGTAAGCTGTGGCTCAAAGATGTGGTAGCAGACAGATGTGTAGAAGAAGGGATTACTTAACTAAATTGATGGTRGTAAATGAGAGCCAGAGAGAGCCAGAGATGAGTTTGATTTGGATGTGTGGTTTGAAAAAAAAATAAAGCATTAAAATTACACATGGTGCCATTCATGAGAATAAGAAAACACAGCATATTGGCATATTGCTGCGTGAAGACTACACTGAAATAGGCAGTTTTTTTTTTTACTTCAAATTATGGTCTACTTCAAAGACACATTAAAGTGAATGTTTCTTTTACTTTCTTTAAGCCAACAAAAATATGTTAACCTTTTTCATTTGTTTGGTTGGATGGTTTTCTGCATCTTTTCTCACTATATGTTATTAATCCAGTGGGATATTTTGGCCATGGGTAAAATTCACTACTGTCCTTTGGTCCACATCTGTAAATAAAAGTTAAATGTTAAGCATTTTCTTGTGTACAGAAATGTCTGAATGAAACCTGTGATGTAAAACACATAGATGCAGTCAGTTGCTGTTTTTTAGGTAATTGTGTCCAAGTAGAGTAACATTGCATTGTGGAATTTGACCTTAAACATTAAAAACTGACAAATTAAAATAATCTTTTGAAGAATTTCTCAATTCATATGCTGTTGCACATACCTCCCATAATAAAAGCAATGTGCAAATTAAGATTTAATTAGATAAAATGAACTAAAACCATTTTAGTAGAATCTACACTGTGGTTTTACATCATCCTTTTATGACTATGTTCTTCTCCTGCCCTTCTGCATAAATTTCTATTTGTGCAGCTTTATATGCTCATTTGTTCCAGCTTAAAGATGATCTGCACAGTAAGTTCATTTAGTTTCTTTTATAACAGTGAACATTTAAACCCAGTTGGTACAGACCTCGAAGAGGTAAGAAAATAATTAATCATCTGCAACTTTTTTTAGGTACACTTCGCCAATACATGGTAAAATATTCTCATTTTTCATTCAGAACGGCCTTAAGTTTTTGTGGTTTCAATTTAACTTTGGAAACATTGCTCATATCATATCCACATTATAATGTCAAAGTTGCAGCTGATTTGTCAGCTGCACATCCATAACGCAAAATTACAATTTTATTACATTTTGATTGATTAGATTGAGATCTGGTGACTGGAGACCACAGAAGTCCAGTGAAATGAGACTCACCAGACCAGACAATGTTTAATCTTTTAATGTCCAATTTTGTGCTAATTAAAGACTCTGTTTTCTGTTCTTAGCTGACATGAATGGCATCTTGCGTAGTCTTCTGCTGCTGAAGCCTAAGGCTGGACATGCTTTATGTTCAGACGTTCTACAAACCTATTTTGGAACAATTGGCTATTTGAGATGCTGTTGTTATTATCTCGAACCAGTCTGCCCATTCTCCTCTGACATCAACAAGACATTTATGTTCACATAAATGCCTCTCATTGGATATATTCTGTTTGTTGAACTGTTCTCTGTCAACTCTAATGTTGGTTATTTATGAAAATCTCAGCAGAACAGCATTTTCTGAAATACTCAGACTGAACCGTTTGGCACCAAGAAAAATGTCACCTAAATTACCTTTCTTTCCCATTCTGATGCCTGGTTTGAATTTCAGGAATTTAACCATGTCATCTTGTATGGATACTAAAAAGATTCAGTTGGCACCACATGATTGGCTTACTAGCCTTACAAACAACTGAAAAGGTGTACAGTATTTAAGGTGGCCAGTGAATGTTCAGTTTTGGTTTTGAGACACTTAACAAGTTTATTTAGAGTGGTTCATAAAAGTGACATCTAATCATGTTTATTTCTTCTTTACATGGTTAGTCTAACCTGTAATTTTAAACCAAGTCCCATAAAGTGCAGCTCATAAACTATCTTAATTCATTTTTTATTTATTTTTTTTTGCACTTGCTGGTCTCTTTAAAAATGTTTCTGGTATACATTTTTGCCCTGTAACAGTTGTTCTTCATTTGGACAGATCCAGTAAGTGACTCAAACTTCTGTACAAACATGGAAAATATAAAGTTATATTTGGAATGGGTTAAAAACAAAATAAGGAACTAAAGAATCAGCTCAGGAGCMTGAGCAGAGTACATGCTTTTTATCCCCTGTGTTTTGTTGGAGACTTTTCTGCATGATGTTAGTGTCTGTACACGCTGTCCTCTTTTCTCCCCAGATGTCTCAGCTATTGATGATATCCGAGTTCTTGGTCAGACAGAGGTTTCTATCCAAGTGGACTGGAAAAACCCACAGGCAGAAGTGGATTACTTTAGACTGAAACACACTGACTTGTTTGGACAGGAGGAGGGGCTGAAGGTACAGATGAGCCAAGAGGCACGCACCAAACACACTATTGTGGGTAAGTCTTGTCGCAGAAGAATGTCTGTTAGCACAAGAAGTAAAATCAGTTAMAGAACATATACTTACCTAGTAATTTATTGATAAGAAATGTCAATAGATTATTATATATATTTCATACCATACAACTTTTTATAGCAATGCAGTCTGGCTGATTTAATAAAGAAACATGTTGCAGTAATCCAGCCTGGAAGTTATGAAAGGATGAATTACTGACTCAAGATGCCTTTTAGACAAAATGACCTTCAAATTGGACAGTCTCCTCAACTGAAAAAGGCAGGATTTAACAATCGAGTATATATGTACATGCCCAATTTCACTCCCAGATTGGTGACATTCTGTTTGTCAAACTGAGCCAGAGAGGAAATGTTGTTGCTGGAGTCCCGTGTCATTAGATGGAAACAATAGGAAATTTTCATTAAAATTCAAGAAGTTTAAAGCCATCCAATACCAGGTAATCAAGTAGAGGTTGGATAGAGAGAGCACCAGCATGCTTCAGAGGAAAATAAATCTGACAACCATCAATCAGCATAAAAATAAAAAAAGGTATGCCATGTTTATGAAAAATAGCATCTAGTGGCAACAGGTATGGAATGAAAAAAGAAGGGGTCCAAAAATGGAGCCTTGTGGTGCCCTCCGCTAAAGAGGTGCTAATGAGGACTTAAAGTTTGGTAAGGTAAGACCTGAACCATTTGAGGGCTGATCCTGTGATATATATGCACTGTTCCAGCCTAGAGATGAGGATGTCTTGGTCAGTGGTGTCAGACGTTGATATAAGGTCTAAAAGAATATAGATAGACTCACCAGAATCCAAGGTTAAAAATATATCATTAATTATACTTTATTAGTGCTGTGATGAAACCTAAAATCAAATGATCCTCCATGATTCAAGACTTTAGCTTTAATTACAGTACAAAAGAAACCAAACAGTATTTGTAACAGTATGATATGCGGTGTTTCAAATCTTTGTTGCCTTTAAATCATTAAAAATAATTTATTTCATTTGGTCTTTTTAGATTTTTTATAGCTTTAAGGTTAAATAAATCACTAAAGTTATTTTTAAATTAAAAAATACAACTTTTTATGAAAAGGTCTTCATTTTCTTGTCTGCTTTATGTAAAAACTTGTATAATAAAATACAAGAATACATTTTTCTCAATTTGGAGTTTTATGGGGATGTATCTTTCTGCAGGTCTGTATCCAGGGACAGAGTACCAGATCTCAGTGCAAGCTATCAAAGGAGACACTGAGGGAAAATCTTCCTTTGCCACTGGTGTCACAGGTCAGTTCATGGGTCGCGGAACTTAATCCGTCTATTTTTATCAATAGGCAGAAATTGAGCTCAATGGCTTTCAAGAAATTAATTGYGCTGAGACTGCATTTATAGGAGACAAAAAATCTGTCTGAGCGTGAGTGMCATGAAATGGGAACTCTGCCGCATGCGGAACTGAAGAATCAATGAAAAACAAATTGCTGTCTTCTAAGTTTGGAATATCCTGCAGAGTCAAAGACAACACTTCATTTTTAAGTAATCACTGGTCAGATTTTAGAACAAAAAAACAGATCATGCACACACGCATTTCATTAAGCAACCTTTTATTACCTTCTCCTTTCAGCCAGTGATAACAAATAATACATTTAGTCATCAAAAATCCCCAATTATAGGTTAGTGAACTGCTTACATCAGAATAATTTGCACAGGTTTTAAAAACAGTGGTGAGCGGTGTCACAGAGGGGAAACATGATCTGAATCTTCCAAATATAAGATGCTCCCCCATGGTTAAGATGAGAGGGGCCTATGATTTACAGATCCCATCTGGCAATGCTGAATGTCAGCATGTCGCTTCAGTCATGTTCAGGGGTTTCAGTACGTGACGTGGAATTCATTTCTCAGCTGCACCTCAACCGCTTTTCTTGACATTCAGAAGAGTGTGCAACAGCACATGTCTCATTATTCTCTTCTTCTGTCTCTTTCTTTGTCCTTACTCCTCCATCTTCACTCTCATCCACCTTCTGAGTGGGCTTAGTTAGGAAGGAGTCTCTGCTTTGATGCTTCTTCATTTTTTTAGAGATGGAAGAAGCCAATTTAATGATTTTTAGTCATCAGGCTTCGTGGGATATTTCCAAGCATCCCTTTACATCTTATGAAGCCAGACAGGTACTCAGAGCTTCCTGTCTTTGCAAATGATTTTTTTTTCTGTTGACCTGCCACCTACGTGCACAGTAATTGAGTGTGCATGTATTTGTGTGTGCGAAGAGACTAATCTACAGCAGACAGGCTGTGGCTTGCCTCCAYGTTAGCTGCAATCCTTCATTTTAGGTATAACACGAAAGGGCTTAGAGGTGATTGAAGAGGATAGTCCTTGGCTCTGTTTCCCAGAGCGGCTGTGCTCATTTCGTCATGACTGGCATGGCGTAAAAAGGAGAACACAGTCACATTTTATCTCAGCAAGCATGCTGTTTGCCTCTGGCTAGCATGGATATACAATGGTGAGTGATAAAAGAAACACAAAGAGGGAAATATGGGAAATATCATGCAGGCAAGCAGTAATAAAGAAAAAAATATGACAATTGGTGCTGAACTGACAGACATAAAAAAGTTTAAAATGAGCTAAACTACTGCTGTGCAGAAACAATGTAGGGTGAGAAATTGAAATGTTTATAAGAAAAAGAAGAAGAGAAGGGAAAGGTATAAGAATAATGAGTCTCAGTAAAGCTGTTTCTGTAACTTTATTTAAGTAAATAATGGATTACTGAGTATGGCGGCTTTTATGGAATAAAACTAAAGGTTGTCTCCAGAGGCAATGGAAGATAAATTTGTGAACATTTCTGTTTTACTTTTATCATCTATCTTTTCCAATTCTTCTTACTTGTTTCACGTCACTGAAAGACAAAGGCACATTACTGTATCAGACATGTGTGCATTGTGTCAATTTGTTAACAAAATATCTGATGAAGTACAGGACAGATTTTAATAAAACTTACAGAAAGCAGTTATTGTATTTACATCTCACACTGGTTAAATGTTGCAGCTCCATTCAAGATGTTCAGGCCAAATGGTCTTAAATCAAAATTTAGTGTAAAGAAGAAAGTCATTCACAACACCTTGATTTATAATCAGAAAATATTTTATATATTTAAAAAAATATTGAGCTTAAAATGTTTATTTGAAATTCAATACACTTAAGACATTTTTTCTGGGCTCTGCACTTCATCTTTGGGAGTTTCCATCAATATGAAACATATCAGTAACACACACACACACACACA